TTTAATTATAAAGTTTTTTAGTGAAAATTATCACTTTGAATTAGTAATGTAACAGAATAATGGTGACGCTTTTTTAATTAAACTGCAATTTAATATTTTTTTTTTTTGAAATTTAATACAAATAATTTTATTAAAAAAACTCTGCTTCGAAAAATTTTCTAAATGCATAACTTAAATAAAAAAATATATATTAATACGCTGGAATTGTTCGGCAATGCATAAATTTATTGACTATTTGTACTTAGCAAGTCGGTAGTTTAGCAACTAACTGTTTTAGAAATCAGTCATAAATGTCTGGCAATTCAATTCATAAAGTAAAACACTAAACACGAAAAAGTTGATAAAAAACATTTTCCTTAAAATAAATTTTTGAATACATTTTTGTTTTTGTTTTTTTAAACCCATAAATATTTCTAATATCGAACAAAAATACTTTTCTAACCTCAAAATATTTTCTCTAACGAAAAAATTATATTTTTCGCAATATAAAGTTTATACCAAAAGACATACATATGTATATGTATATAATATATATGGCAATCTAATGCATAGCACACAGTAAATACCATTTAAATGACGCTGCGAAATTTCGGCAGTGCGAATTTTAAGATTTAACCGCAGGAAAAGCATAAAAAAGAAGCTAAAACAGAAACCGACAAAAAGTGTGAAAGCAAAAACGGAAATGTTTAATTTATTGACGGGATTTAAAATATTGCAAGTAAACATAACGCATACTAACACAAACACACTTACATTTATTCAAATTCAAGAAGTTGCTGAACGAAATGCAGAAGAACAAGAAAAAAAACTTTATAAAAAGTAAAAGGTGAAATATGCCAACAAACATACCTATGTATTTATCAAACATTCTAATACATACATGCACATATATATATACAAGCCTACATATATATGTGGCTGTGTGCAAGCAAGAGAATATATGAAAATTGTGCTTGTAGTGTCTTCAAATGCATTCTCAAGAGCATTCCTTTAGAAAATTCTGAAAATATGATATGATAATACAGTTATAATAACAACAACAACAATGAACACCGCAATTTCCTGCAGCAGTGCTGCCATTTCGGCGCGCATTGCGACTTTCTTTCACAAAACTGCAAAGCAAATTGTCGGTATTTTATATCATTTTAACGAAAATATGTGCAACAGCAACAACCACAACAGCGAGAATTGGCGTATTTTATTGCATTTTAGCAAGAACTGATCTATGCGCACACGCACACGTGCGCAACAATTGCGTGGGTGTGTGTGTGCATGCGCGCAGCTGTTGGCACTACACATGTATGAGCGAAGCGAATGTGTTTAAAAAGTAGGAACTTTAAAAATCCGCATATTCGCATTTCCGCAATAAAGTTCATTTTTTAGTAAAAAAAAAAATATTAAAAAAAAAACCCCAAAAAAAATATATAATAACAATAATGGTAGTTATTTATTCAAAGTGTATTTAGTATACAATATGCATGCATGTATTTATGTCGAATTTTTAAATAAATTCTAAAAACTAAAAAAAGCATTTTGTCTTTAAATTAACAAAAATAATATTTTTTTGAAGAAAAACCACAGGCACTCCAAATTTAATGGGAAATATTTATTATCATTATTTGCCATTTGTTTTTTGAAGATTATCTCTTCCAAATGTTGGCCGTAGCTATGACTTAGGTATTCGTTGAGTCAAATATGCGATGACTTGTTCGAGCATTTCGACTGGTAACTAGCGAATGACACGCGTAATGTTTCGCTCCGCGGCCAGAACCGTTGGGGGATTGTCCGCATAGACTTTATCCTTTACATATCCGCGTAGGAAAAAGTTCACGGTATAATGTCACACGATCTTGTTGACACCAAATAGTCGGTTATTAGGACGCGATAACGGTCGCCATTAACGATTACATTCTCACTGGTATCATTTTTGAAGAAATATGGACCGATAATTTCACCGGTCCACAAACTACATAAAAATGTTGTTTTTTCTGTATGAAATGGCAGCTCTTGTATCTCTTCAGGTTGCTCTTCGTCACAAATGCGACAATTTCGTTTGTTTACATATCGTTTGAGCCAGAAATGGGCCTCATCGCTAAACATAATTAGGCTCGAAACGCCGGATCTTCTTGGAACTTTTCGAGAGCCAATAGAGCGTAGCGAGGTTGCTTGGAAAGGTCGAGCGGTTTCAGTTCTTGCAGAAGATTTATTTTGTACACTTTCAATTTAAGATGTCGACGTAAAAAGCGCCAAGTCGTTCTATACGTTGCTCCAAGTTGGTGCGAACGGCGCCGAATCGAATCTCCACGATCTTCATGTACACTCTCAGCTACGGGTGCTATATTTTCTGCACTGAATGCTGAACGTGGTCTATTTGGTCGAATATTGTCCAAAAATGTATGCTGAATCTCAAGATGAGTTATTTTTGCAAATAGTACGCTCATTAGCTCGATTTTGATGACCGTAAGTTAGTTCATTGCAGGAACACGAGGAGTCTGTTTTCATTATCCTTCCTTATAGAATAGTAGCTGTCTTCGATTCGCCAATCGTTGGAGAGTAGCGAATTAAACAAGCTATACCAAGCAAGTGGGCAGCACTTGCAGTGCAACCCTGCGATAACATATTTACTGATGCATGCACGATAGGGTAATGATTCTTCCTTATTGAAGAAATTTCCTTTTCGCAATAAAAACGTTGCAGTAACGTTTAGTGTTGTCCTCTATAAATAACTAAAATGGACTTTAAATCTTAATTTTTAAATATGCAAGAAAAATAAATTTGTTTTTTCCTTTGTTACTTATATAATATAAGACATTGAAGATAGCTACTATATCACATTATTGAGGTATCCCCATACTCTCTCGCACGAAGTCAACTCAATAACTTTGTCGTTGCTTTTAGAGATATTTCTTTTGCAAGAGAGCAGAGAAATGGCGAATCGGAGACAGTTAATATGATCTAATACTTGGTAGATCGTGCTTTTTTTGCGAGTGCGCAGTTGGCAATGCCTTCCGCATCATCTCTGTTGTCGTCACAGCAACGGTATATAATATTGTACCTGCAATTCAACTTTTCGCGAAGTATTACTTATGACGGAAATAATGTATAATTTTTAACTTTTGGGGGAGAACTCTCCGCAGTTCCTAATACTAATAACCTAATACTGCTCTGTAAGCTGATGCAACTCTGCGAGGTGCGGTACAGTGCACTCTGGCCATTACCTTACGCTGGTTTTGAGCATATCTGCCTACATCTCTGCTCCATATAATAGGAAGCTGATAGTCGTCGATATTAAAAGCTTTCTCTTTCTTTGATGGGCCACATATGTTGGCCATTAGCCGGCTATGTTGGAATGAAGATAGTTAATATGGGGTCCAGCCCTACACCTAGGTAGTTTCGAGACAACTTATTTGTTATCTGTAGTATCTCTGTTGTTTTTCGTAGCGAACTGGTTGTGTAAGTCGAGCCATCGTTGCCTCCGTACCATTGTTCGCACTTCTTCTGTATCGAGTGCTCTGATTATTGGTGTGATTCTTCTGGCATTTGAAGTTTTAGTATATCGTCGTAGCTGATGTTCCACAAGTCTGGCCCTAGAATAGATTCTTATGCTGCTCCTGACGTAACCGCTATCTGTCATGATCTCTCTTTAGTTTGGTATAGCAGTTTTCTATTACTAAAGTAGATCCGTCCCCAAAGCTTTGAGATAGTCGAGGATTCTAAGGCTTTTTTCGAGACCGTTCAATCATGTCCACCCATATAGCCATAATCAATACAAATTACAAATACTGCCGCCATGTTTACTAGACCTACATATACATCAGTTATCTTACATACAACGTATTGTCCTTTTGTATAAAAATTATCTGTCTCTAAATGTGTCTTAAGTAACGTTTGAATAGTAACATAGCCTCCACCCATTTTTACTCCAAAATGACAATTTTTAAGCAACCATGAAGAAGCTGTTTTTTGTTAGAGGAAAAACTTCAAATCTCTTCAATATTTTACTAATATTTCCTGCTGATCGTTTTCCTCTTTTTTGAAATATTGAAATCGAAAACATGCCAACATGAACTCTTAAGGCGGAAAAGTATACTTTGCGGCAAGCTTCGACAAGGATCGTTCGGTGTGTATTAGAAAATTAAATACATTCTTATTTAGTGGTTTTCACCCAAGTCTGTATTAAAAATGCGATGCAGCCATTCTGTTTTTGAAGACCTCGATTTTATGGGGTATGAATGTCAGCATGAAACTTCGAATATTGACTAATAGTATGCAGATTGGTTCTATACAAGTGTCATCTAGAGTATTAAACCCCAGGAATTCGTAACTCGGTTAATATCATCTGGGGACACGGTGATATAGAAATAGTAGGAAATGAAAAGGCAGATGAGCTGAAGACACAATTCTCCCAGGCCATTTGGCTTCTTCATCTCCGATCTTAGAACAGAGCATAAAACAAAGTTACTTTGGGAACTGTTGAAGGAAGACAAGCCACAAATCTCCTACTTCTAGGCAAAAGTGAGTTTAAAAATTAGAAAGAAGAATAAGGAGGAGTGATTTTTGCGCTTTTATAGTAGCACTTCACTTTGGGTAGTGAAAAAGAGAAAGAAGCAGACAAATTGATATTTTAAAGAATGATTAAATTGGATATCCGCGGTTGACTGATATACAGCGTGCCCTTGCCTAGTAGGAAAATTTAAAAAATATGACATTACGATTTTATAAAATCTTTCAATTTACAAACGTAATTAATACATAATATAATCTTTATAGACACTCACGACTATGACCGCCACAAAAAGGTCGCCGAAAACAAAAAGCCCATCCAAGGTTCTAGCCAGCAAAAAAGCAGCTAATGAACAAGAAATGGCGAATAATGAAACAATTAGCTACCAGTACGACGGTGATGATGAAAAAAAGCAACGCGACACTCCAAATCCAGAAGGAAAGTGTAAACTCCACGACATCTTCCATTCTTGTACTGGCTACAAGTTAGACACATTCACATCGTATACAAACTTCACCAACTGGTTACATCGGCCAGTCGATGCCTCAGCGCTTGGAGTTTTTCGTATGCTCTACGGTACGGTTATACGCCTCTGAACGAAAATCCGATATCAGAGTTTTAAATTGAAAATTTTGTCCAACATACAGGTTTGGCAATGTGCATCGATATCGCGGAGGAGCGTGGAGGCAGTCAAATGGATACACGCTTCGGCGAGCCACAGCACTGTCACTTTCCGCTTTTCGACGGCATTAAAGCATACCCACTGCCGGTGATGGGTTGCATTTATCTGCTCATGTGGCTTGGCGCCCTCGGCATTATGCTGGGCTATCGTTATCGCCTTAGCTGTCTGGCGTATATTGTGCCCTATTGGTATATATTTTTACTCGATAAGCCGGCGTGGAACAACCATAGTTATTTATTCGGTTTGATTGGGACAATATTGCTCTTTACTGGAGCCAATCGATACTGGTGAGTTCGGGTAGTCAATTGCCGTTTGTATAGCGTTTTATGTCTTCTCATTTATCGCAGCTCCTTGGACAAGTATCTGCAGCCGAATATGCCGGACACTGTGCCCTATTGGAATTACTTTCTCATCAAGTTCCAATTTTTCGTGCTCTATATGTACGCCGGACTGAAGAAGTTGACTGCGGAATGGCTTTCGGGTTATGCGATGTCAAGCCTTAGTGAACATTGGGTCTTTACACCATTTCGCTCATTGTTGTCGTCCGATTTGACAGATCTACTGATTGTGCATTGGTTTACGGCGATCTTCGACTTTTCTATTGCCTTCTTTATGACCTGGGAAGCAACCAGATTACTGGCCACACCCTTTATGCTCAGCTTTCACTTAATGAACTCGCGTCTCTTTGTTATAGGTGCGTTTTATAAGCAATTTATTATAATGTATTTTTATAGTAAGATTTTACAAATTACAGGCATGTTCCCTTGGGTATGTCTGGCGGAAGTGCCGCTCTTCTTTGGCTTCAGTTGGCCGCGAAAAATAAGTCTCAAGTGTTTAATGCAATTTGTCAGCTCCCCAACCATTTGTAAAGCTAAAAATAAGCAGCAGCAATCACAAAACTCTGTAGAACCGAAAGAAGCTACAGAAATTAATGCCGCTTCAGGAGCTGTGGCTGCCAGTACCCAATCCACAACCAGCAACAGTGACGATCAGATTGAAAAAACAGCAACAATAAATTTCGCTACTAAAGTGCGTACAGCGCTCGTCTTGTTCTACTGCGCTCTGCAACTATTTCTACCCTATTCCCATTTCATCACGAAAGGCTATAATAATTGGACCGAAGGCCTCTATGGCTATTCCTGGAACATGATGGTGCACACGTACGACACGGTGCTAACCTCGGTGAAACTTGTCGATAATTCTAACGGTGAAGTACACTACTTGGATCCATATGCCTTCACAGAGTACGATCGTTGGACCAAACATGCCGATATGGCCTATCAGTATGCCAAGTGTATTGAGGCGAATATACGCGACGACTATGCGCGCAATCCACAAGCGAGTCCACTGAGTTCGACGAATATTTCAATATATTTTGATATTTGGTGTTCAATGAATGGACGCTTTCAACAGCGCGTCTATGATCCGCGTGTCGACCTCTTAAAAGCCGAGTGGTCACCATTCAAGCACACCAGTTGGTCATTGCCACTGTTGAATGAACTGAATTATATGCGCCCGAAATTGAAGACGATGACCGATGACGTAATGGCTTGGAGTAATTACTCGGATGTCATATTTGTTGCCGACTTTCCGGGTCTAACATTGGATAACTATATTTCGACTGACTTGACAAATGTGACACTAACTATTTTGGCTGGTAATGTGCGCTATAAGAGTGACGATGAGGATGAGGCTTACTTTCTGACGGCGGGCAAAAGTTTTGGGCTGCAAAGTGGTGAGACGCATCATATTACAACGATCGGATTAAAGCCATCTTCATATCTCTATACATTTATGGTGAGCAAGCGCACGATTATATAATAAGTGCTTCGGACATATTTGCTAAATAACGAACCGTTTTCTCCTGAACTGCGTTGATCGAAGTAGACGTTGTCATCAATGTAAGCAAGCGACTATTGCCATCAGATTGAATCATAAGTAAAAGGGTGTTAGTTGGGTGCGTTTCAAAGGAGCCTAAACCTATGCCTACATATGTAACATTAGAGAAATTGAACTCTTCAAATAAACCAGAGATACTGAAGACGTTGGTGGTCCAAATGGCCTCAAACGAGTGTATTGTGTAAGGTCTCACCACGTTATCAGTGTATTTTATGATTTTTGACTAGATGCTTCAGGGGTGCGATTCCCCAATATGCAGTGTCATTTTCTTCCATTACAGTTGAGCCAATGCGTTCCTTACTGGTTTCAACTCAACACAGTTGAATTGAAGGCGAAGAAATCCAACTACAGACCAACGCAACTCTTATGCTTTGGTATTACGAACTTCAACTATTTTCGGTCGAAGTGTAATCGGCGTTGCCAATCTAAAAAATAAAGATCTGCCAGATAATTAAAGAGCTAAAAAATTTTAAATGAAAAATAAAAACAAATACAAATAAGTTATTGCTGGTGAAAGAATTAAAAAAGAGAATCTTGTGTGTGAAATACTTCTCATAATCATTCAAGGTAAATCCGATAAGAACGAATACACCTAGTGCTATGCGATAAATCATTAACTAATCGGGTGTCACCGAACATTTTATACTCTCGCATCAAATAAAGTATTTGTGTAAAGTTTTATTCCGCTATCATCATTGGTTCCTAATGTATAAATTATACAGAGAAGGCATCAGATAGAATTCGAAATAGCGTTATATTGAAAGAAGGCGTGGTTGTGAACCGATTTCACCCATATTTCATACATGTCATCAGGGTGTTAAGAAAATATTATATACCGAATTTCATTGAAATCGGTATAGTAGTTCCTGAGATATGGTTTTTGGTCTATAAGCGACGCCACGCCCATTTTCAATTTTTAAAAAAAGCCTAGATGCAGCTTCTTTCTGATATTTCTTCCGTAAAATTTAGTGTTTGTGGCGTACGTTTTTTGTTAGTCGGTTAACGCACTTTTAGTGATTTTCAACATAACCTTTGTATGGGAGGTGGGCGTGGTTATTATCCGATTTCTTCCATTTTTG